TTTCCCTAAGTTAAATCAGTTTATGAGTTCTGAGTTTGTGTTATTGTGTTCTTATTCTTTCGTGAATTTTCGGTGTCTCAAGACCAGTTCTGCCATCCTACAATATTATTTACAAATACGAGCAAGCGAAGCAGAGTTTGTCTAAATAGATGTGTATTTCACAAATTTCCAAATTTAATTTTCTTAAAAATAATATCACGTATGACAAAATTTTATTCTATATTTCTGATTCAGATTTATGTGGGAAATCACCCTTCTGTCGACTGTAGCATCAGTTTGAATATCTCCTGTATTTTATATTTTATATTCTACGCTTCTTTTTTGCAGGTGTTTTGCAATTATCCCTGTCATTTTCGTTACTATTCTTATTGGGACTGCTATTTTCAGGACGTGTCTTTTCTGGTGTTGGACACAATCCCAATTCAGGCAAGCTGCAAAAATAAAAAACACATTTAACTATGACATACTTATTACATTTGCCTTTTTTTATATTTAAAAAATTCAGTTACTAAATATGATTTTTACAATACATTTTTATCATGCAGTTTTAAGCAGAATCAAATGTGCAAATAAAATTTTATTTAACGTAATTTAACCGTTTATGACTTCATTGCAATCCGTTGTTTTTCGTTTCAACGAAATTATAATAAATAATAAATTCACAGTTCACGCCTTCCACAATTTATTATTCTATATATAATTCTTTTATATATAACAGAATTGTGAACAGAAAAATAAATAAGAAATGAAAAAGCATGTGCTACATAAACGAATACTATTATTGCTGTACATTACGTACAGTATGCACTACATTATATTGTATATGGAATAAAATTTTTGAAAAATAATTAATGAATAACTATACTATAAGTATATAAACAGTAACAAATGGTAAATATGCAGTTTAACGGCCTTGCCCTAAACGTGTCTTTTTTTCGGTTTTTTCACAAACGGCTTTATTTGTGCCTCGATAAGAAATATAGATCGAGGCAGCTTGAAAAAGTTACTAGTTTTTTAACAAAAAAACAAAATTGTTAAAAACTGCCGAATTCATGAGTCGATCCGTATGATTTTTGAACATGTTGTAGAGGACGAGATTCTGAACACCTTTTATATGAACAATAATTGCCGCTTGGCTTTAATTTCCGAGATATTTGCAAAAATTGTTCACACTACTACATTGATTCCGTCTGTACGTGTGCCGTGACGTGTCAGCCGCTAAACTGCATATTTACCTAACAAGCATAGAGACTAGCGAATTTCATTAAAAGTAATATGAAGTTACAAGCATACTACTTAAGAGAATATTAGATCAGACTAAATTATGAATGAGTAATTAATTTAATAACAAACAAAAGATACTTGTATGCATGTACAAGATAATACCAAAATCGTAATATAACCGGAAAGGGTGTAATTTCTTGTGTAAAAATAAATCACAGATATACAGTGTGTCACAGCCAAAATGATACATCACATATGAAAATACGTTTCATTCGAAAAAAGAAGTTTGAGGTGTAAAAGAGCCAACGCCGACGGTTGAACTCCGGCAATCGGCGACTTTGTATCCGCGATCGCTCTGGATCGTTCCATGACGATCGAGAAATCGAGGAGAGGACGACCACATGCGTATCTAAAGTCAGTTCATTGTCGACTCTCGACCGAGTAACAAATCGACGGGTGACGAATAAACTTTTTGGGACGAAAAGACCTTTTACCAATTTTAACTCGAATCTCTTCAGTTCCCCGAAGCACATCTCCTACAATTCAGAAGTAGGATAAGCCCCCGCGACCGTGTGTCGAGATTTGAGAATTTTTCTTTTCCCTTTTGGAATTCCTACATTACGTGAAGTTTTTGTGTCCCACGTCCATAGTGGTGTTTGAAACTGTCTAACGTTACGTGAAGATTTTGTGTATCACGTGCATTAGTGTTTGGAACTGTACAATTGTCTTGATTATCGCGTGTGATAATTTGCGTTGTGGCTAGAAACATAAATGAATCAAGATGCTAGAAAACAAGGACACTTTGTATCACCGTCTCAAAGCTGAAGTCCCTACTCCGTGCACGGAACTTTCCGATTGGTGGAACCAAGTAAGAGCTGATCGTTCGACTATTAGCGAGAGATCCGAATTTAACAGACAACGTGAACAAACTTATAGACAAACTATGCCAATCATACACTGAAGTAAGTGAAGAACATTCTGAAAGTCGCTTAACAGTTTTAGATGCGACACCTGCAGAGTCCAGTCTGAGAAATCTGACAGATACAACTCATGAACAAGAAGAAGGGAATGAAGAACGCTTCAGGAATACCTCACTAGACGTCAGCGGAATAGTGTGCACAACCCCGACAGAAGGGCCGATAAGCAGACGAAAATTATTCAGCGAGAGAAAGCTCTATAGGAACACAAGAGAGACACCGATGCCAAGGTCAGAAATATCCGACTCAACTAGCAAAGCCAGTAACATAAACGTAATAGTAGAGGTGTTAAGCGAATTCTCCAGTGAGGACCAGGAATTCAGTGCCTGGAAACTGCAAGCGAAGTTGCTGCAGCAAATGTACGCACTTGACACAACACAATAAGAATGGTGATTACCTGGCATCTGCGGAGAAGAGCGTTAGACTGGTTTCAAACAAGACCTGAAAATATCAGGTTATCATTGGAACAAATTTTTGACTATTTGGGCCAATTGTTTGATCGTCGCCCCAATAGTTTGGAATTACGAAGAAAATTCGAGGCACGAGGAACAAGGAAGAAGCGTTCACAGACTACTTTCACGACAAAATCATCCTCACCGAGAATGCACATACCAACCAGGACGAACTCGTAGATCTAATAATCAATAGTATGCCGCGGATCTAAGGAACCAAGCCCGGATGCATTGCTTCGCAACACCCGAGGCAACACTGAACGCTTTTTCGAAGATGACCCTTCAAGACGCCGGAGATGAAGAGCGAGACGTTAGAAGGCCGAAATGGAAACCACGCAAAGACAGTTAAGGGGACCGTCGTGATGACATCCAATGTTTCAGTTGCCGCCAGAGAGAACACGTGGAAAAGGATTGACGCAGCGCAAAACGCGAGTGGGGGAGTTGCGTTAGGTGCGGCAGCAAGAAGCACCGGGCCTACAACTGTACACAGTCCACAAGAACACAGCAGTAAACACCACCAGAGCAGCAACGTGTTCTGCCAACAGCCTCTTCATCGTTAACGTAGATAACAGGTTTGGTACAACTGACCACACCGGACACACCGTTTGCGGTACCGGTCGGATTCACGACAGAAGGTAGCAATAGTACACCACGCGTTCATAATCTTCCCGCAATAATTGATTCGGGATCACCGGTCGCCTGATAAAGTCCTGATTCGTCCCCCCCGAATGTCGTGCGCCCGTTCAACCCAACGAACATCTGCTCTACGGGTTGAACTACGCAGTACTGACTGCCCAAGGAGTCTTCGAAAGAGAGGTAAAAATAAATGGTGCAAATGTGCGATTTAAATTTCTGGTTGTGCCGGATGAGACGATATCACGTATCCGATACTCCTAGGTCGAGATTACATATTGAATCCAATGATAAAGATTACGATAGACCGTAAATTTGAAATTCAGAACCTTCCATCAGAAGAACTAGCAGATATCGAGTGCGAAAAGCAGATTCTTAAAATCCAGTACATGGAACGTCTCGCCGCGGTCACTGACAAATTAAACATGAGCGTTGAATGCCCGAATATAACAGCCGAACTGGAAAAATTGTACACCCCAATGTACTGACCGCGAAGGTACCGTCGAGTTACCCTAAACTAAAAACCGAAAATCCGATTACTTTCCGTCCGTGCAGGTTAGTTTTCAGAGATAGGGGAAAGTTACGCTCAATACTAGATGATCCACTAGATAAGGAAATAATCCAAGATCTCGAGCATCGAGGAGAGACTTCGCACGCGTGTCTCGTGCCAATTCGTTGAAGACTCTCGACCGAGTAAGAGATCGACGTGTGACGAATAAACTTTTTGAGATAAGAAACCATTTATTAATTTTGACCCGAATACCTTCGGTTCCCCGAACCACGTTTCCTACACCTTAAACTGGACTAAGCAATAGTTTATATTTTAAATATACTTTATCGTTATTAAATTTAAAACCGTGTTCTTTGTGCTGTTCGTGTCGGTTCCTATTTCCTCCTTACCCCTCTCCTTACATATCTATATTTATTGTGTAATAATGGCGAAAGAAACGAACATTGTTTAACATAAAAGAAATGAAGTTACTATAATACAGTGCAGAAAACATCTCCATAAATATATTTATAATATATATCCGCCTCACTTTTTTCTGAAATCACCCTCAAACCTTTTTTTCGAATGAAACATATTTTCATATATTATGTACAATTTTAGCTGTGACTCGCTATATAATAAAGTATTTTTATAAAGAGATCTGCTTTCAAAAACATCAAGTTTGAAAATTTGTTAAGTTTTCTTCACTCCTCTAATCTGTTAAAAAAATCACAGATAAAAGTACCTTGGCCGTTGTCGACAAACGTCCAACGAATCTCATTGGCTGTCGACAAACGAATCACGGTGGCTTTGTGCCCGCGAAAACTCTTGATTGTTGTGAAACGATCGAGAGCGAAGTGCATCGAGAAGAAGGAGAAGTTTCCGCACACGTACAGTTTCCGAGTTCAATTTGTAAAAGACCTTTGAGTAAAACATGAGATCTGTGTGCAAAAATAAACCTTTTCAAGACAAAACACTTTTTAGTTTTTAACCAGTGTCCCTTCGGGTCATCCTGACCACAGCTTTTCTTATAAATCATACTTCGTAATACAAACTATCAATGCCAATTTACGATAATTTAATTTGTTGAACAAGACCTTTCCTGTAATATCAAGGACAAGATTATCAAAATCTTGAATACTACTATATTGAGTAAATTATTGAAACCTACAATACACGACTTTATAATTATTATATGTATATATTTTTATAATATAAATTATAACCCACACCGGTTATGAACATAAACACGATTAACGATTAACCAGATTTATTTTAATTGCAGGTAAACAACAAATTTTCAAACTCGATCGTACCGAGAAGGATTCCCATAAAAAAATTTTGTAGATAATTACCTTTCCGACTGTATTACGATTTAATCATAATGAAAGTGATAGTAATAATAATAATATAACAATAATATTAAAACAAATTTAACAACTAAATCTATATGTCTTAAAGAATACGTTTTACTTACGCCAATACATTTTCGTTTTCATTTTCTTGAACTCTTTCTGTATTTTGTACAGCATTCGTATTCGATGATATACCATTTTCTTTGCGTTGACTTTGCAAACCAAATTTTTGTACTTGTGACGAATATAGGTCTTTTGATGTAATTTGTGTTGGAGGAGCAATTCCATTCTTTTCATAATATTTTTTTATATCAACTGTAACACATTTTGTACAATTATACGTTTTGTATATTCCAACCAGATAATCCGCAAGTTCAAACATATTCGATCTTAGTGATATAACTATAAACTGTGCATTTTTTGTCCTTTCCTTGATATAATTTCCAACAATTGATACATTTTTAAAATCTAAGGCAGCATCTATTTCATCCATAAAATATAAAGGAGTTGGTTTATAATGATGCAATGCAAATACAAGAGCCAAAGAACTTAATGTTTTTTCTCCGCCACTAAGATTGCAAATATTTTTCCATGACTTTTTAGGAGGTCTTACACTAAAAGCAATTCCTTCGCTAAAGGGATCTAAAGAATCAACCAATTCTAACTCAGCATCACCTCCTAATGTAATCATTTGATACATCTCTTTCAATTTGTCAGTAATGATAGTAAAACCAGCAAGAAATTCTTGAATTCTACGACGTCTTGCTGTTTCATAAATTTCTCGCATATTGTTGCGCTCGGTTGTAATCTTTTCTAATTCGGCAGTACGTTTTAAATATAATGCATCTTTTTCTTTATATTCCGCAATAAGTTGCATGTTTGGAACTTCTGAAGGTAACTTTTTCTGAGCTTTCTGCAAATTAGCTACAAGACTTTTTTGATCTAATTCATTAAATTCCTCTTCTGTTAATTCTTTTAACTGTTCAACATCCTCTCCAGGTATTATTTGAAGTTTTAAATTAGCTATTTTTTTCGTAAACTGTGGAATTTTGTGACTTATCGCTTTAATTACAGCTCTATACTCCTTCAATTTTTGATCAAGGTCTATTTTCACAGCTTTCAGTTTGTCCTGCTTAGCCTGTAAAGCATTCAATTCTTCTTTAAGGGATGATAAAGCTTCATCCCTTTCTGAAAGAGATTCTGCGAGGCCTTCAAGTTGTTTTGAATATTCTTTTGCCTGCCCCTCCAACTCTTGTTTTTCCTTTTGAATATCACGAAGCCTTTGTTCGCAGGTATGTACATCATTTTCCAAGGAATCGATTCTTTGTTCAGTTTTCTTTACGTTTCTCTCAGCCGTTTTAATAGCAACTTGTAATCTGCATATTTCAGCTTTAGCTTTATCCATTTGCTTGCATATATTAGCTACCTTTTTTCGTTGATTTGTCACAGTACCCCCTGATAATACATCTATTTCCTTATTAATACGAATTACTTCCTTTTCAATAGTGTCTGAATTTTCTTTCATTTTGTCCAAAGTATTTTTAGTCCCACTCACTGCTGCCTCTAGCTTTTTAACTTTTTGCGGATTCGATTTTGAACCTGCGACTTTTTTTTCTTGAATCTTAAGTTGTTCCATCAATGATGGTTCTTGTTCTTTTAACGTCTTTACTTCGATATAAAACATTTCCTTCTTGACTGTCATATTGTTTATACTTACATTTAGAGTATGACACTGATTTTCTAATGATTGACACTTAGCTTTAAGTTGATTGCACTCTTCGTACGTTTTATCCAAATTTGACTGTAATGTTTCAACATCTACCTGTGATACTTCATTTTTCAAAACTCTTTGTCCCATTCTCCCCTTCAATACTGTTCTTCCACCTCCGCTCATTGTTCCGGATAGTTCAATTAATTCGCCTTTCAATGTAACTACTCGAAAACGTTTATTGCCATATGCAATGCGTGTCGCTTGATCTAAATCATTTGCCACTAACGTATCTTGTAATCCATAATAAAAAGCTGGTAATACTCTTTCATCCTCTACACGTATGAGATCAAACAACCTTGGAACATTCTCTGGAGTTTGTATTTTTTGTTTACACTTCCCCAGAAAACGCTGTTGTTTTTCTAACGGTATAAACGTTGCACGTCCAATATCGTTCTGCCGAAGGAATGTTATACATTCTTGCGCCGTTTCTACAGTATCGACTACAATATTATCCAGAGGTCCACAAGCAGTTGAGATTGCAACATCATATTTGCCATCTATAGCACCGAGATCTCCCTAAACAGAAAAAAATTAATGATATAATCATATATTTCAAATATGTAAATTATTTCGTATAAATTATATAATTTTTATATTTATCAATGAATTTTTTTAAATAATTTTTAAGTAGCTTTTCAAATATACTATTGTCAATATATTCATTAACATATTATTAATATTAAGCAAATACATCATAACTAGTTCAAAAAACTATTTATCATTCATCATAATCCAAAGACATTAATTTCGTCTTTTTAATTTTACAATAGTATTGTCAATATAAAAAGATGGTTCTCATAATATTATGTAATAACTAATAAATTTAATATGCTACTGCTTTTCTTTCTTCTTCCTTTTTTATCAAAAGCATTTTATTTTCATTTAATCTAAACATCCCAAAATATAGCCATTCCATTATTTCTGTTATTATAATCATATATAGTTAACTATAAATTGTGAGCAACTAAACAAATGTTTAGCTACAATTTTATAGATGTTACTTTTAACGAGTGTAAGTATAATAAACATTGAAACAGTAATATTATTAACATTATTACAATTATGATCATAATACAAACGTAACATATATCATGATATTTTCGACAAGGACGATTTTTCCTCGAATATTAAAATCTTGGAAAGCAACCTTAAAAATAAAATTTTATGTTATACCTTTGTATTATTACTTTCTCTATCGAATATTTGAAATGAGAAAAAATAAAATAAAAAATACTGTATAATATTTTTAGCCTTAAAGGTCGTAATTGTAAATGTGAAAAGCCGAGTTCGTGGACACGCTAGGGTCGTTTCTCGAAAAGGGGCGACAATAAACGACCTCGGGTTCGACTCGAGCCGATATTTGGAGTGCGTGCAGAAGGTTGCGTGAACGCGTGCAAGGTTGTACGGACGGGATATTTATAACAGTGTCGAGTGCGAGTAATGAGCGAAAATTCAGAAATGCGTCCGAATGTTTGAAGAACCTGGCCTACCGAGGGCGAGATTTTGTGAGAAAGGCGTGACTGACGAAGAAAGCTTGAGAACGAAAGAAGACGGAGTGCAAGGATAACCCTTTTGCTACGGTCGATTTCTCTGCCGCGACACTCCCGCAGAACGAGTCGCTGCGCCAGAAATGTGCACGGTGCTCTAGAAAGATCGGCAGTGGCTGCCTATCATTTTAACCCTTTGCGGCCCTATATCGAGCGTCACTCGACACAGCATTTCGTTCCAGCAAGTCCTATGTCGAGCGTCACTTGCCACAGCGTTTAACACATTGAGTGCTACGTAAGTCCCTGGGGACTGATAGTGAACTTTCCGTTCAGGCGGCGTCAGTCCCTAGGGACTGACAGTAGACTTTTCGTTTGGACAACAGTCCCTGGGGACTGATAGTGAACTTTCCGTTCAGGCGGTGTCAGTCCCTAGGGACTGACAGTAGACTTTTCGTTTGGACAGCGTGAATTCTAGGGACTGACAGCGAACTTTTCGTTTGGTCGACATCGGTGCGTGAGCCTGGCATTGTCAAGGGTTAAATTATCAATGACAATTAATATATTGTAAAAATTTAATTCCCTCTACTAAAGTAAATCTTTACACTTCCGTGGCTTCTTCCGACTGATCGTCTCTTGGTGATCGCCTTTTTGCCTTTCTGGCATTCCCCATCCCATTATCTTCTGTTTATAATTTGTACATTTGTGCATTGGCTGTACCATTCTCACAGTCCAAACGACAAAATGAAACAAAGTAATCTTCTGCTCATACTTTTCAGTATACTTGAGCGTTCGGCATCAAGTGCACACTCGCTACCGCCTGAGCGGAAAGTACAGCAAAATCGGCACCGTACTCAACGTGTTAAGATAAGAGAAAACTCTTTTTCTGGGGATTGGAAGCGTCTATTGTTAATGCTTTTATTTTGTACAAAGCATCTATTGTTAATTCAAGCAATCAGAAGATCTTCCACAAAAAGTTTAGAGAACTTTTGCTTAGACTTGCTGGAGACTTGCGTGTAACAACAAAAACAGGACGACCATCATCCAGTGACAAGGAACAGCGAGTAGATGGAACATTACATATAATTACACTGCATCTGCAGCGTAAACACAAAGATTGCACAGTATGTTCAAATCGAATGTTCCTGGTGGCAGAAGAAAGACTACATATATATGCGAAACCTGCGGCAGAAAATCGGTGGTTGGTAAGTGGTAAATTATAAGCTGTGAACAATAAAAAATAATGTTTATAAAATCTTAAGCTATTATTTTATACATCCATTCATAAGTATGTTGCGTTAGTAAGCTCAAAAATGTTTTCCAGAATAAACGGTACTAAGTGGATGAGCGACTGACGAAATCTGTCCGGACCGCAAAGGGTTAAAGAGTGGGATAAACTCTGTTAAAAAATACTAAATCTAAATAAAGGTAAACAAATTTAAAAAATAACGAAGTATACTTTTGTGTACGCGGTATAATCTTAAACATTAAACGTCACGTCGGTCCCTAGGGACCGGCGCTAGAATTTCCGTTCAGGTCTCGCCGGTCCATACGGCCCGAAAGGGCCCGCATGACGGCTGACTGGTGTGAACGGAACGGCACGTAAAACCGGCGTGGCGTTTAACGTGTTAAGCAAAGCGACTTATAGGCGTCCAGAGTATGTCAATAGTATTTTATGGAGAGCGACTATAGTCGACTGCAGTACGTCAGTAGCATTTTATGGAGAACGACTATAGTCGCCCGTAGTAACGAAAGTGTTAAAAGAAGGATACAAGGACACGTACGAGTCAGTTACAGATTAGTTGTGAAACAGCTGAAAAAGAATTGCAGTCGTAAGAATTGTAATAAGTCGTAGAATAGCCGTAGTGATAGTCGTAGAAGAGATTCTCAATGGAGATTAAGCGGAGGAATCAGCGTACACTCAATGTTTGCATGTACGCAATTCTGTATACACATGTACAATAAATATAGTTTAGTCAATGACATACTAGTATTATGCGTTCGAGAAGAGATGACACAGTGTGTTTACATCTTCACAACTGACTGACTCCGTTGACACTTTCTCGATCACAGGCAGTGACCGCTAGAGGGCACCGGTTGTGGTCATCTTGAGTTCCCGGTGCTTCCCCATCGCGGTAAGAATGGCCACCGTGGGGATTTTAGCAGATAAAAATTCTACATAACCTCGTCCCCTCCACCAGGGAGTGCGGTATCTTTTGAAGATTTCCCCCACGTAAAACAAAAGAAAAGAAAAGAAAAAAAAAAGGCAGTAACGTCTATTAGTCGAAGGGTAACGAAGATTGTCAGTGGGCCGTAGTAAGACTGAGTAGGATAAAATATGACAGTATCGATCTTACTTTTCTGTTTTTTAATAACTTCAAAGACTATGCCGATGCTGCCATATCCTATTTCACTCGATCCCACTATGGCCTGCCGAGGATCTTTATTACCATCTTCGGTCAATAGAGGTCACTGCCTGTGATCGAGAGTCTCAGCGGAGTCAGTCAGGATGTAAACACGCTGTGCCATACCTTCTCGAACGCATAATAGCAGTTTTGTTCAAACCTCACCACCTTGATCCCTACAATGCTAAATATTACTTGATAAACATTTCAAAATATATTTGTACTCATTTTTTAAAATTCATACTATCATTTCTATGATAAGGACATATACAAATTTTATTGCATTTTGTTTATATTTTTATCCTATATGAATATTTTCGCCAGAAATAAGTAGCGATAGTCAATAATACGGGGTACTAAGTTGATAACATCAGAGTTATGATAGTGATCCCAAACAGTTGCGGAGGTCCTAAATATGTATACAGTGAGTGTTACTATGTCATAAAAGATCATCAATAGAGTAACAAAATTATTAATTACAAAAAACGCTTCCAAAACGGATAGAAATTCAAATATTCTAATGAAAATAACCAAATATCCAAACAAATTCTATCGAACCTAGAACCTCATATGTAAACACTACAAAACAAGAGTATATCCCAACTCAAGATCAAATTATAACCCTGCAAGCAGTTAACAATATTACTATCAAAGAATTATGCTCGTGCGGTTGGAAATATAGGAACGCTATAAAATTCTTGTCAAAAAGATAGCTGCGAAAAAATATTGAGAAATTATTAGAGTCTAGAAATTACTTTACTGAACTTGAGCTAAAATGAATCAGTCCATTTTAGGGTAAGTACTGGGAAATTAAGTACAATAAATGTAACAATCTGCAGCAGTAGACTGACAACTCCATACTTAGAATGCGAACCATTGCAAGACCTTTGCGACAGCGACCATTTTCCAATGAATGTTACCTATGAAAATACCACCCTCCCCTATAAAACAAATCTACCCATAAATGGAACTTAAAAAAAAATAGATTAATATAATTATAGAGAACAATAATAACTAATTCACTTCAAGAAGTTTCAAATTAGGAAATCGATCCATCCAATATCAATTAAGGGGGTCTTTTGGTCTAGCAGTGCAAAAAAAAGTACTTTTTAGGCAACTTTTTCTGAATAGGCCATAAAAGTTATTAATGCAGATTGTTTTGACACTTATTGATATGTATTTTGAGAGCATTCCAAATTTTGAAGTCTATTAGTTAACTACAAATCGAGTTATCTGCATCTAAAACAGGTCAGGGAGTTGAATCTGCCATCATCAAGAATAACACAATAGTAAATACTATCTCTCAACGGCCACATCCATTTTCATAGTAGAAGGCTATGCTACAAGTCAATCAAGAACATGTGGAAATAATAAAAGAATCATTTTATGTTCACTGTTTGACCTCGCATTATCTTTTATAAAAGTTAAAAAGTAGCAAAATCCTAAAGATCATAATTTTTTATATTTATGGTCAATGAATACGATCACTATAAATTAGTTACTCCCATAAAGTTTGAATGAAATTTTGTAATACAAATCGCAAAATTCTAATTTATCTATATTAAAAGAACATCAAATTATAAATCAAAATAATTTAATTTTTATACACATATTAATTTATTGTTTCAATGTGATCATCAATTACGGTCGATAGTTGTTTTATATTGAATAAAAAGTTTTCTAAAAATCGACAATAATTTTATACCGGCAATATGTTTTATAAGCAATATGTTTCTAACAAGGGAACATATCCAACTCACACACATCGAATTTGATGAAACGGTATCTACCGTAATTGTAAGTTTTCATGATCTATATATATCACCTTTGAATGGCATACAATTGTAAATTTTATGCTTCTACAAAAAGTAAAGCATGTATTCGCCGAAGTTAAATACGGCAGGCGAGAAATTCATACAAAATCTAAATTTCACGTTTTTGTAATGTAAACTTTTACTAATAAAGACGACAAGTATTTTAAAATTTAAATACAAAAATGTGATATTTTTACTTTATTAAAGCTTACTAAAACATATAGGTTTTTAGTAGGCTTTTCATTAGCTACTTTTTTCAACATTCTTACTCTATGAAATATATTAATACAATTTAATTACTTAAATAGAAAATATGTAAACTAAATATACTTTATGTATTTATTATATTATTTCATATATAAAAAATGTTAATTTACATACCAATCTGCCAAATACACCAGGAATTCTACCTTCCGTCTTTTCTCTTATTAAACTATCTATAATTTTATTCCTTGATTTATTTGCTTGCATTGCAAACTTTTTTTCCTGAAATGAAATTCTCATTCCTTTTAACTTTGAAATCATTTCAATTTCCATTGCTTTCGTTACTTGCAATTCTTTTTGTGCTTTTACCAATTCTTCTACTTTGTGCGGAATTTGGTTTTCTAAATTTTGTAGTTCTTCATTTCGTTTTATTAAATTATTCGTTGAAAATTCTAAATCATGTTTCACTTTCTCCAATTTCTCTTTTTCAATTGATTCTATAGAAGTATACAACTTTAATTCAGATTGGGCAATATCAAATGCTGCTTGTGCTTGGTCAACATCTTTTCTTAAAATTATTAACTTCTTTTCAAGTTCAGAACGTTCATTCAACAATGGCGCAGTTTCCTTACTAAGTTCAGCCATCAATTTTTCTAATTGTGCTTCTTCTTTTTCTTTATTTTTCATGTTCAGCTCAACTAACTCCTCACATTCCTGAATATCTTTTATATTCTTTTCTGGTACTTTAGACAGTTCTTCTAATTTAGATTTCTCCTACAAAGAGCACTTAAGTATTAATATATTAAAATTAATAAAGTAGTTGTCCTAACTCTCTGTATAAAAATAATAAAATAAATTTTACACTCTTTAAAGATGAAATATTAGCCTTTCTTCTTTTATTTGTTTCCACTAATTCGGCATGAAGAGATTCATCAAGTTTTCGTATTTTATCATATTTTCCTGTGATTATATTCTTTTCCTTCTCTAGATCATCCCATACTGCACTTTTCTCTTTAATTATTTTATTCTTTTCCTTCATATCATCAGAAATTTCTTTCATTTTGTTTTCAAGTTCTGACATATCCTTATCCAATTCCTCGATTTTATTCTCCTGATCTGCAAGTTCTCGTGTCGCAATAAATCTGCCGAAAAAATTTTTGGTAAGATACATATGTGATAACATTTCAAAAATAAAATAATTACCTTTCATAAGAATAAAGTTGATGTTCTATTTTTGTAATTGTATTTTCCAACTGTAAGTATCGAATAGCTTCTTGCATGGGTTCCTCTAAAGCTGCTTTGTCCTTTTCAACAATTTTAAGACGATTTAACTTTTCAACTCTATTTTCCGACAAAAGCTCTACCTTATCTGACAGTTTTTCTAATGGCTCTTTATAGCAAACTGTTCCAATTATATCTTCTAAAAACTCAAGCATACCAGTATCATTTTCATTTTGGCCTTTAGGTTTCATCATTGCTATTTGTTCAACTTCACCCTGTGATTATAATGTAATATAAATGCACATGAAGTTACAAAAAAATATCTTTAATAAACAATGTAGTACATACCTGTAAAATTAAAAAACGGTTGTGATCTAAATCTACACCATAGGATCTTAAAAGTTTTGCAATTTCCTTGAACTGTACCCGCTTTTTGTTTAATTCATAATGGGATGAATTATCTTTAAATGCTGTTCTTGATATAATAAATTCACTATTTGGCACAATGTCATAATCTGCATCTTGCTAAAATAATATTTCCAATTTAAAGAACTTATTTAAGAATGATTTATATATAAACATAATTTTTTTAATAGATAACATACTTTATCAATTATTTGTTGAAAATATACAGATACAGTACAACTATTAATATTTTCATGTTCATTTGAATTATGTATTAAAACTGATACTTTCTTTGAACGAATCTTTGTAGCTCTATAACCAAAGACAAATAACATTGAATCTATAACATTACTTTTACCACTGCCATTTGGACCAACAATAGCTGAAAAACACTATAAAGAAAAATGCTAATAAATATCAATTTATCATTGTATTTTTTTTAATTTAGTAATCTTGCTTTTGTACCTTATGAAATGGTCCAACAATTTGTGTACCTCTATAACTTTTAAAATTTTCATTAACAATCTTGGTTATCATTAGTCTAGGACCATTAATGTCAACACTATTAAATGTTTTGAGAGGCGGTGGTATGTAAATATCATCATCTACCTGTATACCACCTTCTACATCTGCGTGTAAAACAATATCTTCATCAATTTCCATATCACAAACATCCATATTAGTTCCATTTTCTTTGGCCATTGTATTCATCAATATGTAGTATATTTGTCATTCACAACATTAAATCTATATTACAAAATATAAACTTATATAGTATAGCATCAACTGTTTAGAGGTTAGAAATACATTAATATTTAATTGATAAAAAGGTATATTACTATTGATTATATATTTTCCTCAAATTAACATATTATCTCAAATAAAATAAATAACTTATTATGTGAGAAAGCAATACAGAAAATAATTTATGTTCTATTTTCATTGAATATTATATTAAATTTAGAACTTACGTTTAATAATGCACAGAAATTACAAATACATTTGTTAAATCAAATTTTAATTTACATTAGTATACATTTCATTATTATTTTATTTTTAAATATGTTTATCAACAATGTGTGTTTAAAATAGTACATAAACTAGTTCTGAAACTAATGAAAGGGCAACGTACTAAATTCAAATTTAAATTGTAATAACGCCACAGGGTTGCCAGGTTCAATGCTATATTTCAACGATTGGCTACATTCTCATGTCAGATTCGATATTACATTAAAGCGATTGGCTAAAACTGCCGTGGTGTCACCGATTGAAGAAAACTGTAATCGTTGCCACTAAATCATAACATAACCAAAATTCAAACCTAATCATATTTATATCAAACATTGAAGAAACACAATGAATACCGTAAACCTTTATCTTACGCACAGTATGCCACGTTTCGTACAGACATGACGTGGCATCAGAATCGGCCTCAGATCGCGTCGTTTAGGGACAGGACGTGATCCCTACCAGTTCCACCTTTCAATTCCGTTCCAACCAATGGCAGAGAAACTGAATCGAAACATAGCATTGAACCTGGCAATCGTTTATGCTAATGTACTAATTTTAATATATCAATCTTTTATCAGAGAGATATAAGAATATTTTAAGTTATAAAAAAACTTACTTATATTATAAATGTATACGTACATATAATTATATAATATAATTTTAA